GATTTAGAATGTATTTACAATCGAAGGTAAAAATCCTAACTAAATAACTCAATTGCTCACCATTTAAGGATTTAGAATAATATTTTTGTTTTCGTACTAAACATTTGCACGGCAGATGTTTAACAATCATAAGAATTAGAAAGTTCTTGTCCAAATTCATATTATAAAAATATAAAACGCTATTAGGACTAAACAATCATTTTTTTGTGTACTTTGCTAAAATATCGAATGCAAAGTCCCATAAATTTAGTCGGTGAAAGCAGGGCTGCCAGATATCTACTCATCCGTCCCGCCATTAGTACGAAAAAATATATATGTATATTAATCAAGTACATTGTACTTTGGCGTCACAGTTAAATATCATACTTAAGGTTAAGAGATCATTAGTTTTTAAAATTACAATAATTAGACAAATACTTCTGTAAGAAGTTCACGAAGTTAAATGTCCAGGAGTGGGATTACAAATAGCGACAGCGCTACGAAGATTTATATATGTATATATGTAAAAAATATTTATAAAAACAATGTATAAAAGTTGGATGTCACAAGTGACGAATTCGGTAATACCTTAATCCACCTAAGAATCGAATTGTTTTATTTTCGAATATCGACAAAGTGTTATATATGACATGACGTCATGTGATGTGAGCAGATATTATGTAAAAAAAACTTGTAAACTGAATTTAATACACTTTAAATATTATAAATATACTGTTGGGTGAAGAAATCAAATACTTGTTTTTTAGTTAAACTGGTCCGAAAGTGAAAACCCCAATCAGTTTCTGAAGGAATAGCGACGAGCAATTAGTTGTTCATAACACTAGGTTACAAAAAAGGTTGAAGTGTTTCGGGGGTTTCTGTGATTGCAAATTACGAACCTGGAGTGGGATTACAAATAGCGACAGCGCTACGAAGATTTCGCTACGTAGCGATTCAAAGCTACATTCACTTTAAAAAATTTTCTAGCTATCGGGTGACTAAAAAAATAGTATCATTTTGATAAATTTAGGTTGGTACAATTGTTTTTCTGTGTATTTTTTTTCTCATATTTGCTTTATTTTATAATTTAACAATTTTTTTTTGGAATCAAGAATGTATCAAATTCATAAGGATTTCCCACGATGAAGAAATGAAGCAATTTAAAGAAGTATCTAAAAGACTGACAAATTTTTCAAGTGTAACACTTCAAATCTCAAAAGTTATAAAAAGGCAATTCGAGGCAATGATAATTATTAATATTATTATATTAACACTTTTATTTCCAATTTCTATCCTTACAAAAAAATCAAGAAAATAATTCAACTTTATCCAATAATAATAAACTATTTACTTTTCTTTTTTATATTAATAATTAAATATTTATTGAATTTATATTTATTATCTTTTACATAGGATTAAAAGTTTCTATTAGACATTGTCTAAAATGGAAAAAAAATTTAATTAAAAACATTTTGAAGATATAACCTCAGAAATAGAATTTTTGTTCTCACGCAAAGGTTCACTAAAAAAATGTATAGGGCATTTTTTGTGAGTTAAAGAGTTTTTCAAAAAATGAAAATTTAAATTAATTTAATTAAAAAATAATTAATTTAATTTAAAAAATTTATCAATTTTTAAATTTAGGCTGGTGAAGAATATCCTAATTTTAAATCTCATGCAATTATTATTTTTAATTCTTGCAATAAGATTAATTTTCTTAATTTTTATTTATTAAATTAAATTAAAAAAATTTATTTCCTTTATAAATTATTTTAACATTAAACTAAATAATTTATTTTTCAAGTTGTTATTTATTAAATTAATAGGTTATTTGCAATATTAAAGTATAATTTATTTCGTCACTAGTTGATTATTTTATTTGAAAGTAACAGTTGGCAAACATGAAGTTAGAGAATTGATTCCACCTTCATGTTGTATTTGTTTGCTACGTAGATAAAATATTTAAGGAAATTGACATGAATTCTATGTCAATGTCCTTATTTAGAGGGGTTATGTTTATAGTTTCTTCTAAATTACCATCTTGCAGTTTAAGCTTTGAAGAAATTGTCAACGGTATTTTATTTTGGCCATGATTTGGAACAAATTTCACTAAAAATATGTAAGTTTTTAATTCTAAATAACAAAAAGCGCTACATAGCGACTAGCGCTATTAGTAATCCCACTGCAGATTTGTTATCGAATCGATTGTTTCTATCCAAATATCTCATAGTTCTCGTCATTATTTTGTGGCCGTGGTTTTTTTATTCTACATTTCGTCCGAATTAAAAAGATTTATCATTTCATTCGTTGAACACGAAAAATCAAATTAATAAGCTTATTTTATTTAAACATTTTTAAAATTTATTTAGAAGTGTCTTACTTTAAGATGAATTCTGATGCGGAGAAGGGCTGCAACCATTTCTTTACTTAATTTGTTCCTCAAACGCTCTTTCATTATTTTCATAACACTGAAAACGCGTTCCACTACTGCGTTACTGAGTGGCAAAGAGAGTAGTTTGATGACATATTTTGACAATTCTTTAAATGCTTGTTGTCCTGCTCCATTTATAAGCGCCACACATAACCCCAAAATTTAATGATGTCACTTATAAATGCCATCTCACTGAGAAATCGAGGACACAATAGATTTTCTCAAATTTTGTAGTGTCAGAATTAATTTTTGTCTTCAAAAAATTAAAAATTTCATTTCTCAATAAAAAAACCAGCTGCAAACAATTAGCTACACTCAGCCAACGAATTGCACAAAAAAGTACTAAATCTGGGTAATCAGTTTTTAGCTCTTCTAAGTAACAATTTTTAATGCTTCTGTTTCTTTTATTAATCGACCACATAATGCTTCTTGATGAATTATACAGTGAAGTACCTAGCAAAGAAATATATAATATAATTAATTAATATAAATAATTAATTAAATATTAAGGGAGAGTCGGTAGTGGCGAGACACGTTTTGTTTTTTTGTTATAGCACTCACATTTTCAAGAACATCAAGTCTGTATATATATCCATGGACAGGTGTGACTCTATACTGCAAATTTAAGTTATACATAGTTACAGAACAGATAATGGAAAAAAAAGTTATTGCCGATTTACGATAATGTCTCGCGACTACCGACATAAAAAATCGTCCGTAGTGGCGAGACACTATCTTAAAATCAGAGTCTTCATCGTTCAAACGTCACAAAAACAAAGGAATCAAAGAGAAAGAGTATAATAATTGATGCCTTTAAATCATAATATTGTTTCATTCAATCATAAAAATACAGGCAAATATTTTTCTCATTGTGAGCCGCTAATCCATGTCACAGTTATTAAAAACATATAAGCTTTTCTTCCTGTTCATCTTTTTCAATTTAAACTATAGTTATGAAAAATATTGTCGACAAAACGTACAAAAATTATATCAAATTCATTAGGACATGTACAATATTATTAGATATAAAAAAGCCACTGCCGACAACAAGTGTCTCGCCAATGCGGAAACAGCATTTTTCGGTAATGACGATGTACAATCCTATGCATCGAACAATAATTCATAGTGCTCTGGAAATTTTGAAGGAAACTTAAATACTAAAGACTCAAAACATTTAACCCTTCAGAAAATTCCGGAAATTTTTATATATTATCACTTATACCGATGGGAAATAAAACTTTTAAAATATCTTGAAACTGTTATTAACAGTATAGCGATATTTCGTACATCAAAAACGTATGTATCATATTGAAAAGTTAAAGCACAATAAAACTTGACTTTCAGACCAGAAGTGCCAGCACAGTCAGTTCAGCTGTCTGAAATATCCTAATGTCTCGCCACACCGGCTGTCTCGCCACTGCGGACAACTCCTTATATAAATGAAGAATTTTTTAAAAATTGAAAAGGTAATTGGCTAAACATTTTTTAAAAATACAGGAAATAATTTACAAGGCAGTGAATATCATGCTTTCTTAATACATATACTAAGCTGTTATCTTTTCCCGTCATTGCTGGAGCCCCATCAGTAGTAATACAAGAACATTTATCGAAACCACTAATATATTATGACATTTCTTCTTCTAGTGTATTAAAAATATCTACACCTTTTATTGTTCCTGTCATAGCACTTATCGAAATTAGTTCTTCGTTTATAGTGAAATCATTTTAAACAACGCGAGCAAAAATTAATAACTGGCTCATGTCTGTAATATCTGTAATTTCGTCTAGGCATAAAGAGAAATAGGAACAATCCTCCATTAAGTATCTTAAACGAATTCTAACATAGTCATTTAAATCACTAAATCTTCTTATCATCTTTTGTCGTGATAAAGGTACTGAATTAACGTTTCGTGGCATATTTTGATCTTCGAATGTTTCAGCTATTTTTTGCGCACATTTTTTAACGAGTTCTCTATCCGGAAATGATTTTTTCGACTTGACTAATTCTAAGACTGCAGCAAAGAATGCTTTGAGCGATGCTCGTGGATTGTTAATAATATTAACAGATGATGAAGTATGTGTCTGGTCATTTTTTTCTATAAAAAAAGTATTTTTTGACTTGATTTTTTGATCATAAATAATACATTGAAGAACATTTTCTTCATTTGGAGAAACTAAAAATTCTAATTCCCAATGCAATTGAAATGATGACAATTTTGTAGACATTTTCAAATAAACATAAAAATTAAAATTACATAACGTACAGTAATATTTTTAACCTGTTTTCAAATGTAAACAATAACTTATCAAACTGTAAGTGTTTGCATAACTTCATGGTTATTGTCTTCAATGATTTTGACGTTTATTCTAAAAAGTAAAAAAATTGAAATCCGAAAACACGGTCAGTGATGGTGAAGCCTCCGACCTCCCATTTGCTTTTTTTCCCTACTTTGGCCATCACTGTTGTAGGTATATTGAATAATTATATTTAGTGACAATTTAAACATCAATATCATTAACATTATCGTCATCATCATTACCTTCATTAACATCATCATCATCGTTATCATTATCATTATTTACAGAGTTCATGAAGGAAGGTTCAGAGGAAAACAGCATTTGTAGAGTTTCTTTCGGAAATCTTAATGTTTTCTTTCTTGGACATAGTGTCATTCCAGTTATGAGAGGAACCAAAGTGAGAAGTAATTGATTCAAGACATCCAAATTGCAAAATATTCTTGAACATTGTCTGCACAGTGGTGCAAATCTGAAATTTACTATTCAAAACAGGCTGCAGCTTATATTTATTGACAGATTTTAAAATGTTTTTTTAAATTACTCAGGATAAACTTATTAACAACTCTGTGTTTTCGTGGATTTTTTATTTAATTTGTTCATAATTAAATATTTAAACAAACTTATAAAAAAATTACTAAGAATTGATTATTTATATTTTTGAGGAAATATTCTAAAATAACCTAAAAGTGTACAAATCTAGTACCAAAAAACATAAAAAATATAAAAAATTGTTACTTCAATTTAATTGTTGTAAATTTTTAACAGTTATAAACAAATGAATATATAATTACAAAATACAAAAATAATTAATAAAAATTCAATAAAATAAATTTTTAATTACTACTAGTAGCTAATATATACATATTATATATGATTATTCATTAATTTATAATAGTTTAAACAATTTTTTATTGTTTTGTTTATTATATTAATTAACCGTTTGCAGCATTCATTTTTAAGAAAGATTGATTATATAGTTTCTATGTTGTCATTTTTTTAACAATTGAATTTTTGAAGATTGTTTAATGAGAACTTGTATAATCGATGCAAATTGTTGTTTTTAAAATACTTTTAAATAAATCTTTTCTTTTAATTACATTTATATTAAAAATAAATAATAATAAAATAAAGAAAGATAAAAAAAGTTTTCTTTATTAAAATTATGATTAAATTAATTTAATTGAATTGAATTAAAATACAACAATTTGCATCGATTATACAAGTTTAATTTATCTCATTAAACAATCTCTGAGTATCGATACTTTTAGCTTGGTATCGATGGTTTAATACATTTGTTTTTCACTTGTGCAGTTTGCTCTGTGTATGTGTATACACTGTCATTGTGAAATATTTCACGAAAGGTGACAAAAGTTCATCAGTTTGCAATTATTGTGTGAGGAGTATAACCCACAATGGAAACACAACCAATTTGTGAAAACACGTTTCAAGGAAACATAAGGAAAAAATTGTTTGTGTCAGTCGGACAGAAACGTCAACCAACAAAGAAAATGAGGTAAATAAATGTTTTAACACTAGTAATCAGGGCTGTTAAAAATCATGTTTTGTTTTGAAAAAATAAATAAGATCTTATTTTTTTTAAATCGGATTTTTTAAGTTTAAATCAAATATTTTAAATGTTTATTTTCAAGTGGTTTATGGTTTTTAATAAATACTAAAAATGATGAAATTGATAATAAAAACATCAAATAATACTTTCATTTTTATTAAGAAAGATTTAACAGGGTTTCAACGGGTCAGGGAAATCAAGAAATTGTCAGGGAAAATTAAATTATCACAGAAAACTCAGGAAATTTTGTCAAAACTATTCGAACAATTTAAAATTTATAGCAGCTTTTTCTTTAAATTAGACAGTTACCAGTAATTCACAAGGCATAAAACGAAAAGCTGACTGCGAAGAAGCAACTGCGACTAAAAAAGTCAGTCAAGTTGAAAGGTGTGAAAAGAACACGTCGATTAATGAAGCATTTGCAGAAATTAAAACATACCAAGGTAATATTATCTATACATAAATAAAAATTAATTGAATAAAATTTTTCAGTTGAAATCGTTAAAAACTTCCAAAATCAGTTTTATAAAAATTTATTTAAGATCTTTGTTAACAAAACAAAAGTATTACTTATTTTCAAAAATTTTGATATGAAACTATTTGCAGCTATTTTATTTTTGAAAACATAAAAGTCTTTTTTTAATTATTTACAGAAGGTGGAATAAAGCAGGCTGCATTAACTAATGCTCTTCTTTTCATGATTGCCACCGATGATTTGCCACTTTCAACTTCAGAAAAAGCAGGATTTAAAAAATTTTTGCAAATTGCAATGCCGCATTACAAGCCTCCTAGTCGAAAAACCGTCACTACTCTGTTGGATTCCAAGTACGATACTCTAAGCTTAAAGGTTAAATCTGATTTAGTAAATTTAAAATCAGTTTCTCTTACTACGGACTGCTGGAAAGAAAATAACACTTGCAGAAGTTACATGGGTCTTACAATGCATTTTTGGAAAGATTCATCATTGCAAGACATTCGTCTTGGATGTTTTCCGCTTGACGAAAGTCATACAAGCGAATACTTAGGGGATGAACTTTTAAAGCTATGTGATAATTGGAATATTTCAAAGGCATCAATCATTGCTATTGTGACTGACAACGCAGCTAATATTTCGAAAGCTGTTAAAGACAAATTTTCTAAAAGTGTCCATTTACCGTGTTTTGCTCACACATTGCAATTAGTACCAGAAAGAGCAATGACAAGTACAACTGATTTAATGAATTTAATAAAAAGTGTTAAACGCATTGTCACTTTTTTTAAACAAAGCACAAATGTTGCAGATGAACTTCGGTGTCTTCAAGTAGAGTCAGGAAAAACGGAAGGAACTATTTTGAAAGTGAAGCAAGAGGAAAAAACAAGATGGAATACAACGTATTACATGGTTGAGAGATTTCTTTTTTTAGCCCCAATTATTAGTTCCGTTCTTTTTCAAATGCGCGATGGTCCACAAATGCTTCAGCCTTGCCAAATTGGAATGCTAACAGATGTCATGCAGCTTTTGAAACCAATTGAGCAAGCAACAACTAAAATGTGCTCTGAAAAAACGGTATTAAGTAGCGAAATAATTCCTCTGATTAAATGTTTAAGCGCCTCCATAAATCGAAAAACTCCTACAACTATCGTAGGGATTGATTTGCAATTAAACTTGCAAAACGAATTGAAGAGAAGATTTGAACATATAGAGAATGTTTCTTTGATTGCAAAAGCTTGTATTCTCGATCCAAGATTCAAAAAGCTTCATTTTGTTTCTGCACTTTCAGCTGTTCAAACAATTTCTTCTTTATCACAAGAAATGTTTTCATCGGACAATTCAGCTTTGGAGGATGTGGTTCATCTTCATCCTACTAATCATCCTGATTCTAATGATGAACTTTGGTGCCTTCACGAAGAAAGGTCATCTTCAAATTTGATAGATGAAAGCGAAATTACGGACGGAATTCATAACGAACTTAAAAGTTATTTGCGACGGAAACTAATTCGCAGAACGTCATGTCCTATGCAATTTTGGCAACGGGTAAAGGAGGATTACCCTATTGTTTATCCGATTGCAATGAAATATTTATCTGTGCCCGCTACATCTGTTCCTTGTGAACGTCTCTTTTCGAAAGCATCTATGATTGATACTCCACGAAAAAATAGATTAACTGCAGAACACTTATCGCGATTGATCTTTTTATCAGGCGTAAGTGCAGAGAATTGGGGATTTTAAGATTTTAATTATTGTTAACATTTTAATAATGTTGTTTTTTCGTAGATTGAAAAGTTATTTTTGTTAAACCATTTTATTAAAAAAAGGCTAAAATTTAATTTAAACGTATGTTTAGCTTTAAAAAGAAATGACAGTGATGTCTGCCACTTTGATTCGTGACGTCACGATTTCAGATGTCTATTAGTTAATGTATTTATTTTTCAAATAATTTCGATACTTTAGATGGATACTTCAGGTATCGATACTTCTTTCTTGGTATCGTACTCAGTATCGGATCGACGGTTTCAAGTATCGATACATTTTTATTTGTATCGCCCATCACTAGCATAAATACGGAAAAATAAAAAAAAGCAAATGAATTTAAAAACCCATAGGAAAAATTAATAATTAAATTAAAATAAAAAAATGGTCATCAAAGTATTAGTGTAACCAATTTTCCAAAAAAGAATTTGTCTCAAATCCAATAAATAGAAGAGACATCGGGAAGAAAAAAAAATTTCGACAAGAAAAAAATTTTCGGTCACTGCTTATATACCAATTTAATGGCACCTTAACTGCGAGAAACAGTTATGATGTTCGCCCTCCCTGTGGCGTTGAGCGAACTAAAGTCCAGAGCTGAGCCATCAGTGCAGCGCGGGAACATTTGAAAAATTTGATTTTATAAGATATTTTATTTTATTTTAAATATGACAAATACTTAACTTAATAAATAATAAATGTCATAAATAATTATTAATAACATAATGTCATACTTAATAATTCGTTAATTAATTATTTTTAACGAAAATTTGACCCGACCACGACCACGACCCCGACCACGACTAGCTCTCCTATTGGCAGCTGCCAACTGTTCTTCTCGCAATGATACCATTGACTCGTTACTAGTCAAAATCGATGTGAAACGACGTTTTCGCCCGCGATGCGTTTTCCGTGGCGCTGCTACTGGAAATGGTAATATTGACTCTATCGTAGAATCCAAATCCACTTCATTATTTTGTTCATCAATGACAACTTGAGCAGCTACATTTGGTTCTGCACTGATTTCTTCCGGTAATGGACGGTCAGTCACACTGGCTGGCATGAAGTCGAGGTCTGTAAACTTATTGTCATTGAAAGGGAAGATACCAGTACATTCAAAGCCTGCCAGGATATTTGACGGTGTGACAGCCGCTTTGTATGGTTCATTTAATAAAGCTGGAAGGTCGGCAATAGTGATTGTTCTACCAGGATGGTTTCTCATCCACGCATCAAATGAGCGACCAATAGCTGATTTAAATGGACCGAATACGCTACGATCGAGTGGCTGTAATTTGTGTGTACAGTGTGGCGGGAATGATACAAGATGAATGCCATGCTCGACACAATAATCCAATGCTTGAATCGATAAATGCGAATCATGATTATCGAGCAATAACAATTTTGGTTGATCTTTCGATGCCCCAACACAGAATTGAAAATGTTTCAAAAACATTAAAAAGCTGTCAGCAGTCATCCATCCAGATATATGTGCCGCGCCAGTTGAACCATGTGGTGCTCCGTCTAAAAACCGCGGCTGAAATCGAACACGCGGAAAAATAAAGAATGGCGGAATCGACGATCCAGTTGCAGATACTGCAAGTGCAATTGTAATTAGTTGACCTCTTTCTGCCGACGTCAATTTGCCAACTTGTTTCACACCACGTTTAGCAATTACACGATCTGGTCTTTGAACGGTCGTAACGCCAGATTCATCCATGTTCCAAATCTGTTGAGGTAACACTTTTAATTCGTCCATAACTGTCGCTAAATTCTTGTAAAACATTGAAACATTGTGTCGGTTGAAACTCGTCGCTCTTGCCAGGCTGGTTGCTTGAGGTTTTCGGAGAGATAAATTTGTATGGCGCTTCATAAAACCAATTAACCAATCTACGCCGGCAATTTTATTCTCCTGCCAACTTTTTGGCATCGGAAGGTTCAATTGTTTAGCGAAACTAAATGCAAGACTTTGAACATCTCTTGTCGACAAACCGTAAAACAAATCACTAGACTTGAGCAAATAATTCATCAAAGCCGTTTCTTGTTCGGTGCTAAAAACCTAAAAAAATAATAAAACCGCGAAATACAATTGAAACGAAAATAGATACACCGAAATACCAACCTTATAATAATGCTCCTTGGAGGAACTGACGTTACTTCGCAAAATTGGGTAGTTAATATTAAAATCATCAGCGACTTTTCTTATCCCTGTGCCCTTGTTAACTGATGTAATTGCTTGTGTCAATTGCGTTTTATTCACTGCCTTATGTTGTCTTTCCGTTTGTATCGCACCCGAACGATTGACATGAGTTCTCAATGTTTCAAAATTCAAGTTGAAATTTTTCGCTGTTTTCGAAATCGAATTTCCATTTTGCACAGTTTTAATCGCTTTTGCCAAAATTTTTTGGTCAACAGGCTTTGTTTTTCGTTGATAATTACGAATCATTATGTATCAACCTAAAAAGGACAATTAAAAATTCGTTTATCATTTACAAGCGCGTTAGCACGGTCGTACCGTGCTCTATAACCTCTAACTATCCTTGCCCCGTTAGCTCATATTTCAGTTTTCACTAAATTACATTAAACAACGTAAATTAATTTAAAAATAAATACGATATTCGTATTCAGCAGGAAATTCCACTTCGGAAAACACTTACGTAATTAATTATTTTGAAGCTCTAACATAAAAAAAATGTAATAAACAATGCGCTTACATTGTAGCAAAACATATGTTTCACACAAATGAACTCGTAACTTCTGTAAATCGTGTCAGATTGAGGTCCAATTTTACCTGACATCTATTGGTGTTAAGACGCAAACATATGTTGAATGGCGCGTTTTTTAAACAAGCCGTTTAAGAATTAGAGCCACTAACTATCCTTGCCCCTTAACTATCCTTGCCCCATCCTCCCCTAATATATTTTTTGACAAATAATTTTTTTTGTCAAATTTTCGTTAAAAATAATTAATTAACGAATTATTAAGTATGACATTATGTTATTAATAATTATTTATTAAGTTAAGTATTTGTCATATTTAAAATAAAATATAATATCTTATAAAATCAGATTTTTCAAATGTTCCCGCGCTGCGCTGATGGCTCAGCACTGGACTTTAGTTCGCTCAACGCCACAGGGAGGGCGAACATCATAACTCTTTCTCGCAGTTGAGGTGCCATTAGACTGGTATATAAGCAGTGATCGAAAATTTTTTTCTTGTCGAAATTTTTTTTTCTTCCCGATGTCTCTCCTATTTATTGGATTTGAGACAAATTCTTTTTTGGAAAATTGGTTACACTAATACTTTGATGACCATTTTTTAATTGAAAATATGTTTGAAGGATTAAAAGTTGCAAATATTGTAAATTGGTTAGATATAGATGTTTTGTTGGCTGAGGCACGTAATGTTCTTGAGACGTATGAGAGATTTTTAAGGGAGAAAGATTGGCAGAGATTAGAGGACTTGTCAAGCTTGCAGATTTATCCACACCTGCCGATCGGAGAGAAAACTCAGATATATTTGAACGTGGGTCTGCCTATGTGTATGGCAAGATTAATAAGCCAAATCAGATTGGCACCAACTAGACGCCACGTAATTAAATACAAAAAAGAAAGATTTTTAATGGATCCCACTGGGAATTGTTCGATATGTAATTTAGAAGCTAGAGAAACTATGTTTCATATCTTGGCAGAGTGTCCATTTTATGAGGACTTAAGAATTACGAGTTTTAAAAATAAAGAGTTGGAGTTCTCCGAGGGGCAGTTTTGGGTGGATCTTCTGGCTTCGAGGGAAATAAGTAAATTAAAAATCTTATCGAATTTTATATTAAAAGTGTTGAGAAAGAGATCTGTCCTGGTTTGAGTGATTCGATGTTTAAATGTTTAAATCAAAAAGAAAATTTTTATCAAATCGACAAAAGTAATGTGAATAACGAGTTCTAATCAGTAATGAGTATTTGGGTGTTTAATTTTAAGGCATTTTAGTTTGTGTAAAGAAGTATATATGGTCTTGTATAATTGATATTGTTACGTCACTGCACTCTATTGTATAAATGTAATATGCTAAACAATTTATGTAGGGGAGTGTCACCGGTTGTACAGCAGGATTATTTTTTTATCTATAACTTTTAATTGGATGATCCAATTTTGACTGTTGATGTTCTATTTTAAAGCTAGTGTAAATACCTAACTTTTGCTTACGAAACTAAATTTTTTAATTTTTAAACAAAAGAATTATAAAAGAATTTCAGAAGGTAGAGTTTTCGGATCAAAAAAAATTTGACATCCGTTGTGCAGCACTTCCTAAAATTACTTCAAAATGTAAAAATATGAAGAAATACAAATATAAAAATAATTTTTTATATTATATTTAATTATTATAAAAGCCTTTAACATTTATAGATTTTATAAATATTTATATATACTATATTTTATGGACCCCGTTCGTGAACGACTTTAGCAAAGCTATTCTACTTACACCTTTACAGAGACAATAATGCAGAATTCAAAACTACATTAATAACCGTAACATTCAATTATATGCTTTTTAAATTACCTAAATATAAAAATGAAGTCGATATTTTATCATAAAACTACAAAAAAAATATTTTTGGGGGTGCTACATAACTGGAGAAAAAAAGTGCTGCATAACCGGGGCTGCTGCATAACAGGGGACTCTTCCCTAATCGAATAAATAGTTATTTATAAATTACAATATTAATTATAAATATTAATAAAGTTTCATTTCTTATTAGATCTATTTTCAGATAAATTACATACCATAATTATATATTTTTGACTGTTCCTTTTTCTTTGCGTTTTACACGATTTGCATGCACAATGAGGTCACTAGGGTGAGCTTAAATGTGCGTCTTGCAAAGTTTACAATAAGCTTCGGGTATTCAGTTTGACACATCATCTTAACTTGCAAGAGCAAGCCAATCTACAAAAATTAAATTTATGATAACGTATATTTTCATGTTTGCGGTTGGCGAATTCAATGAAATGTTTTACCCGTGAATCAAAAGGTATATTTAATAATTTTAAGTTCAATTAATTCAAAGGACTGATTCGAATTTTATTAAACTTAAATAATATTGTGATATATTAAATACAAAATTACATTTATTCGAAATAAAATACACATATAAATACACCTGAACATTTGACAATATTTTTAGGTTAAGTAATAAGTTTATTAATATACTTACTTTTAAGGCTTGATTCTTTTTCCCACTTACTGTTCTAATGTTTTAAATATTTTCCCCATTTCCCTATTTTTATGTCTTCTTTTTATTAAACTTGCTGCTCAAAACACTTCGAACACAATACATAAACTGATTTACGTCAACTTAACGAGCATTATTCAACCCACGTGTACTACATGAGATATTACGAAAATCCTATATGGAAACTCATAAAAAAAATCTCATGAGTGTCCAAATAAAATTCTACATGAGATCTCACATAGGATCCCACATGGGAATATGTAGTAGTTATTTTTTTTATAAATATGAGACATATTTTAGTTTTTAAACATAAAATATTTTTGCTTTATATAAAATGAACTCAAAATTTTGTCCGATTTTGCGTATCTCTCACCGTTTTTGAGATATTCACAAATTTTATTTTTCGAATTTCGACCCCATATGGGATCCTATATGGAATCCTATATAGACCCTAGCGGATATGTCCAACGCGTTTTGAACGGAATAGCGTACGGAACACCGTTGGGAACACAACGGTCACTAAAAATGTTATTTAAACAATAAAATATGATAAAGTATTTATTGGTATTTGTAGAAAAAGTGTTCATGAGTAATTTAAGACCTTATTTGTATCAATTTAATAGGAAATATGTGAAATAAAAGATAAAATATGGAGCACTGTTATATTAGGATATTCTGTCAAATTTTTATATAATTCAATGAAAAGTGTTTTAGATATGATTTTTTAATTAAAAAAAACAGTGAAAAAGTATTCGTTTATTATTTTTAAGCATTTGAAAGGGTAATAAATAGTGAAAATTAATGTGTATATTGTGTATTATTAGTATGTATTAGACAACGTTTATCGACAGCAAGTTACAGGTTACACCGGGGAACGCTAGATGACAGCACAGTAAACAATTAATAAGACTTTGACAAGAAAAATATTTAACCCACTGCACGTCGATGATGCATCTAGACACAAATAAAAAAAATGCTAAAGCCTTTTTAAATATTCATAAAAAATGTTACTAGGGGGTTTTCGGGGTCGCTAATAACAAATTTGATATCAGATTTCAAAAATTCAAAATACGAAATAAAACATAACGAATAGAAAAAAATTAAAACATAATCAAATTCTCCATCAGCTTATTACTCGGGGGTTTTTGGGTTCGCTGATAACGAATATAATAACAGATTTTGGAAATTCAAAATGGTGAAACAAAAAAATTAAACTTAAAACAAATTCTCTCAAAGCTCGTTATGTGGTTGTTTTCGGGGTCCCTGATTACGAATCTGATATTAGAATCTCAAAATTTTAAATGTATAGTATTAAACAAATTGAACCCTAATCGAAATCTCTGACAGCTCGTTACTCGGGTTGATTTTTCAGTCACTAATTACGAATTTAATATTAGATTTTCAAAATTCAAAATGGCCGATCAAAAAAATTGTATTAATTTTTTTATATTTAGCAAATTAAATAAAGGCTTAAAGGTTGTTTTGAGTATTTAGGCTTTTTTGTTTATTTTCATTTCGTTATAATGACTAAACATTTGAAACACACGTCACTTTTCGCCGCCTCGCTGCTGGGTTGTAGAAAAACATTCTCGAACATTTTTTAACATATTTCAGGAACAACGAAACATTTTTTATTTTTTCAAATTTTAACACAATCTTTAAGTTTTTAGCTTTAATTTGCTTTTTTTGAAACTTCGAAAATGTTTTATAGTTCCTGAATTATGTTAAAAATGTTCGAGAATGTTCTTTTACAACCCAGCAGCAAGGCGGCGAAAAGTGATGATTGACGGCTGAGTTGTAGGAAAACACGCTCGGTCATTTTCTAACATATTTCAGAAACCACAAAACATTTTTTAAGTTTCAGAAATTCAAATTTAAGCCAAGACCCTAAAGATTAGGTTGTAAAATTGTCAAATTTTTCCATGATTTATTCCAGATTATGCCGGGAGTCAAAGAACATTAGTACGAAAGTAGAAAATTGCATAATTTTTTCTTGAAATCTTTTCGGTGTAATAAATACCAAAAAAAAGAAAAAAAATTTCTTGATATACATTGAGAAGCAGAATTTTATCAGCTATCCAACCATCTAAGTTATAAGTCTATTATTTTTTCTAACTTAAAATATCTTGCTCTAAAATCAGCACCAAATTTCTACTCCTCGCAGGTTAGTCGTACCAACAACTTCCGACAGTAGTGTAGTTTAAATTAAAGTTTTGTTG